TCTTTGGAGGTTTTAGTTTTTTTTAATTAAGCCTCAGGCCACAGTAGCCCTATAAACCTTTAGGGTTCCTTAAAAGAATATTCTAAAGGGATTAAGCCGGGAAGTTCCATTACTGTTTATAGCAGTACTGCCCACTATAATATTAATTTGTAGGGCAGTAAGTAAGGCACTTAATAGTACCCACACATTAATACCCCTTCTATAGGAGTGCTAGGTGCCTACTTACTAGGCCGTAGGGCCCTTATAAGTACTAGGCTTCCGGTAGTTTATTAGCTTTAAAAGGCGTTAGAACTTAGGTGCTAGTAAGGCCTTTGTTAGGCCGTCGGCTACTATATCCTTTATAAGTACGAAAGATATAATAATATTTCTTTCTATAATACTCTCCTTAACGCCCTGGAATTTAAAAAGCGTATACTTAGTACGGTTATAGTGCTTCGGGTTATAAGCTATCTCTATAGCGCTTTAATTATCGTACCTTAGGGGGGTAGGGCTCTATAAAGAGCGCTGAATTTTACTATATAGCCCTCTAAACCACAGGGCTTCCCGGTTACCTTCGATTAAAGCTATATATTTAGCCTCGAGGGTGCTATAGGCAACCGTAGGCGCTCGTTTAGATTTTCAGCTTACAGGGCCACCTCCCACTAAAAATAAGTAGCCGTAAGTAGACCGAGTAGTGGTTTTATAACTAGCGAAATCGCTATCGGTATAGCCTATAGGCTTAATACTACCCGTACCTCCTAACTATATAGCTAAGTCTATCGTACTATATAAGTAACTTAATAGCTTTTTAGCTGCTTTTAGGTGGGCTACCTTAGGTGCTTATAGGTGCCGTAAAAGCCACTAAACGGAGTGGGTAATATCGGCCCGGGTTTAGGTTATCGGGTAAGTAGTAGTACTTAGTAAGCTCTAGTATAGTTTAGTGTTGGCTTTATTTAGTAAATTAGAGGGAGTTTCGGGGCCTATAAGGCTTAGAGAGAGCGGTAAAGTAGGTACGTAAGTACAAACTTCGAAGTACTTAACAGCCTCTTAGATATAGGCCTTTTAGTAGAGCTAAAATAACCTTTTACGCCTATTTCTTTTAATTTGGACCCCGAAAAAGAACTTAGTAGGGCCTAAGTCCTTTATATTATAAGCCTGAGCTAACTATAGCTTTAAGGCCTAAATATCTATAATAGAAGGAGTTCTAATTAATAGATAGTCGTCGACGTAGCTTACTATAAAAATACCTTTATAAAGGTTATAGTAGGTAGCCGAGTCTAAGACTAGTGGACTATAGCCTAAGGTTTTGGCTAGTACCGTAACCTTTTATTACTATAGATAGGGGGCCTGCTTTAAGCCGTATAGGGACCTTTTTAGTACTATAATTTAGTCCTTCGAAGGGTCCTAGCAATATTATTTTAGAAAGTCTATAGCGGTTTAACTACTAAAGCTATATTCGTATAGGCCTTTAGGGACTTCTATATATATATCGGAGTCCATACTAGCGTTAAGAAAAGCCCAACGAAATCGATTTACTTAATTTCTAGATTTTCTTTAGCTATAATAGCTAGTAAAACCCACTAAGTGGGTAGCGCTATAGTAGCTATAAAGGTCTCGGTAAAATCGGTTTTAGGTACCTATTAGAAGCTTCTAACTATTAGCCAGTGGTTTAAGGTGCGGCTATAGGCCTAAGAGTATAAGTAAGGAAGCGGGGCTCTTAAAGGACTCAGGGGTTCAGGGGTCATATATATAAGCGGTCTACTTTAAACATTCTATTTTAAACAGGACATCGACTTTCATTCTTTTCTTCGTATTTTGTGCCTTACACGCGTATAGGCAATTCTAGCCTTCTAATCAGGCCAATCCGGTACTTATTATATAGCCTACGAGCCTATAGTGTCTTTTCTTTATCCTACGTAAAGTGCGGCCTACGAGCGAGTTACTGTTACGTAAGTATATTTATTCTGAGACCTATTAAGGGTATATTTATAGTATTATAATTATTTTATATATTTTCTTACTATTTTAAATAAAGGTCGTGCCCGGATTAAGTAAAGCTTAAGGTCTAAACTAGACTTATAAGCCTTAGGTATTAAAAGAAGTACGAAGTTATAAATAATAATAAATATCGATAACTTTATTAAACCCTACGAGGTTTAACGGAAATAATTTTTTTTTATTTAATCGAATAAAGTTTTTTTATTATCGATTAAACTTTAAATTTTTTACCTGTAAATAGAAAGTTAAATATATAGTCCGGATAAAACCGGGAAGTAA